TGGCACAGGAAGGGCTCCTGTAATCTGTGTGTGACACATCAGTAGGGATGAAGGGTGCCTTCCATTCCCTCACCCAAAGGCCTGGGATTACCCTTTCATTTCCTCAACCCAGTTACAAAGTCTGAGGGAGGTGAGGTCGAGGCTAAGGGGTTGAAGGTCCATTATGTTAGGCAAGCTTTTTTTGTAAAGGGCCAGTTAGTAAAAACGTTAGGCTTTGAAGGACATAATGCAACTATTATGCTGCTTGTGCACAAAAGCAGCCATAGATAATACATAAACAAACGGTCACAGCAGCATAGCCAGTTGGGGCCACAGTTTGCTGACCTCTGATCTAGAGCAGTTGTGCTTGCTTCTGGCTGCATATAGAAATCATCTGAGGGACCCATAAAGCCACTAATGCCCAAATCCCATCACCCAAATTTGGAGAAAAAAAATCAAGATTTTGGTTTTTTTAAGCTACTAGGTGATTCTCATGTGCATCTTGGCTGAAAACAACTATTTTAGAAGAATCGTACATTTTAAAAATTTTTTCTATTTTTTTGGAGACAGTCTCACTCTGTCACCCTGGCTAGAGTGCTGTAGCATCATCGTAGCTCACTGCAACCTCAAATCCCTGGGCTCAAGCTATCCTCCTGCCTCAGCCTCCCCAGTAGCTAGGACTATAAGCACCTACCACCACACCCAGATAATTTTTCTATTTTTAGTAGAGACAGGGTCTCACTCTTGCTCAGGCTGGTCTCCAACTCCTGAGCTCAAGTGATCCTCCCGTCTCGACCTCCCAGAGTGCTAGCATTACCGGCATGAGCCACAGCACGCCTGGCGGAAGAATTATACATTGTAGCCTCTCAGGAAACTGCTAGAATTTGGGGTGAGGCGAGGTAGATGAATACTAGGAGAAAGGACACAGGGCTGAATTAAGCTCTAAATTAAAATTAGCACGTTTTTGGACCACCTGAAAAATTAAGTGCTTCCAATACTTTAATTAACTGCTCTTTATTTGATGCTTTTGTGTGCACAGCACTATAATGAGTTGCCCAACCCAGCAAGTCAGCCCCTTCAACACCCTTAGTTAAGGTGGCCATTGGGGGCGGGGAAGGGACCAATAAGCCACCTTCTACCTAACCCTCTTTCTCCAACCATTCTCTATAGGCCCCAGCGTAGTTTCGAGCCCTGTGGAGACAAAGAGGGGTGAGGGAAGGACAGGCCCGGTAGGCAGTCCCCCAGTCATTTCCCAGCTAGCAAGCCACACCTTCCCGTACCCTGTGTATCCGAGGCCCCGGGCCAGCTGCGTGGCCTGGAAGCCCCGCTTGCCCATCTGACAGAAGAAAACGAGATTCTCATCTTCCAGCTTTGGCTTCTCAGCGGAGTACAAAGCCTGGAAAGCAGCTGGCTCCATCTGCAGGGCACTTTCCAACTCGGACACTGGGAGGAGTTGAGAGGACAGAATGGAGAGCCGGCAGTCGGCTCTCAGGTTCGCAAGCTGGGCCTGGAAAGGCTGGATCCTGCAGGTCGAACAAAGCTACGGGGGACCCCAAACAACATATGGTGGCCACTCCCCTCACCCCAATCTCCAGGACAAGACACAGCCTACTCCCTCAGGGAGTCAGCCAAACCACCTTTGAATGTGAGCCACTTCCCGAGTCAGTCGGGAGGCGGAGGCGGAGGCGGAGGCGGAGGCGGGGGCGGGCGGCCTCAAGCATCCAGCTTCGGGGAGGTCAAGCGCAGAGAAGCCGGTCTGCCCCTCTCACCGCCTGCTAGCCCCTCAAACCGGATGGGCCAGTTCCGCTGCCAGGATCTGCCTCCAATCAGCCCTTCTCTAGGGAAGCTGAGGGCTGGCTTACCGTAATGCAGGACCCCCGTAACCGGCGCCTTTCCCCCGCCACCCTACGTGAGGTCCCATTGGCTAAGACCCTCCTGGACTGGCTCTACTCCACCCCCGGGGCGTGCCCTCTCAATCCCATACCCGGGATGTTGAGCGCCCCTGGGATGGTCCCAGCTGCCGCCTCCTCCCGAGATCGCACGTCGAAGAGCCGGGCCCGGCCCGAGGCTAGGAGCGAACGGAGTTCAGGGAGCGAGACCGTGGGCGCTGAGGAAGGGGCACGAGAGCCGGCAGGTGAGGGGGACTCCAAGGCACCGCTGCCACGGTGCTCCCTCACCTGGCAGCGCCCCAACCCCGTGGGGGCGTGCACGAGGACCTCTCCGCCACGCCCCTTCGCTGCTCCCACCACGAACACCTCGACCCAGGGGGCCATGTGTAGGACAGGACGAGGTACCAGGTCTCCCCCGCAGGTACCTCCAGCCATGGTGCGTGCAGCGAGTCGCAGGAACGCAGCCCCGGCCGACCCCCTCCGCCAGCGAAGCATCTACCCTTCGCTCCCTCCCCCAGCTGAGACCGGAAACGGAAGCGAAGGCATGGCCTCCCGCACCGCCCCTGCAGCACCTGTTGGTGGTGCCTCTTATACCAGCCCACTGGAGACGTCCTTATGACTGCCCAGCATGGCCAGGAAACCACACACTGGTCTGGCCCAGGTACCAGGACTCAGGGTAATGAGTACAGGAGCAGCGCCCCACCCTAAACTCGGCCCGGCCCTTACTGGTCAAAGAGCGG